TGCTGCCTGGCCTGCTGTGTTCCTCCAGCTCCACACTGTGTTAACTCTGACTCCAGCATCTGCAGTTCTTACTGTCTCTGAATGGATGGAAGGCTGGTTTGTGATTTGGACTGAGCTGTATTCCATGACTCTGTAGTTTCTTGCAGTCTTGGGAAGAGCAGTTGCCGTACCATGCTGTGATGCACCCAGATAGGATGCTTTCCATGGTGCATCTATATTTGAGCACAGGAGTAGTGAAGTTTTACTTGAATTGTATAAGAGCTTGCTTAGATTGCACCTGCTGTACTGTAAGCAGTTTTTGTTTCCTTATCTCGTGAAAGATTTTATTGTCATAGAGGGAGTGCAATGAAGGTTCACCAGACTTGTTCACAAGACTATCCTGTGAGGGGAAGTTGGGCAACTCACCCTGTGTTCTCTAGCGTTTTGAAGAATGAGGGGTGATCTCGGTGAAACAATCTCCAGGTCCTGAAGGCTAGAAGCTGTCATGATGCTGAATGGTCATGACAGAGTAAATGCTGAGAGATTGTTTCCCCACTCAGAAACAAATGAGTTCTCTGTGTCAGAATAAGGGGTTGAATATTTAAGATTGAGATGAGAACTTCACTCAAAATGTTGCAAACTTTTGGAATTCTCCGCCCCAGGGGTTTGTGAGTGGTGCATTGTTGAATATCTTGTAAGATTGGGGTAGAATGATTTTAGATCTCGTGGGAAATCAAATGATATGAGAGGTGGACAGAAAAATGTAGTTGAAACCCAAGATGAGCCACTTTCGTACTGACTAGTTGAACAGGCTCAACAAGGCACATGGCTTACTCCTACTCCTATTTATTATGTTTTTATGGGACTCCATGCCGGTAATGTGAATGTCCCATTACAAGCCTTGTTTTAAAAAAAAACTTTTTTTTTAAGTGCAGGGGATTGGGGGTGGAGAGTTGTGAAGGTGGAAAAGTGAGACTTTATCTCTATTGAAGCCATGTTTTTCTTTGTTTTCCTTTGGTGAATCTGTCCCACAGTAAAAAGGACTGTTTCAACAGCAGGAAGTGCTGTTTATTTCAAAAGCCAAGGCCCACTGAGTGCATAAATTCGGTGTTAAGTTTCTCTCCAGTTCCAGTGCCAAACATAATCAATACTGCTAATTGTGCTTCTGCTACTGGACTGAAAAATGAGAGACAGCTCCCACAAATTTGCAGGCAATGGATCAAAGTAAACATTTCAAAATTTCATGTTTCAAATAACAGTGGGGTGTGATGGACAGAATTCATATGTGCAGTAACATAATTTTTCTGCTCACCTGAAATCAATATTGGTAATCGGTAAGCAGATGATTAGAGTTTCTCCTGCCTTTTTAAGTATGATTTGGTAGATTTGGTTAATGTTTGGAGACATTGCTTTCTTAACAGTAAACACATGATGATAAATATCTGTTTGAGTGCCTGGAACTGACGGTTAGCAAGGAAAAGGGTTTTCTGTGTGCTAAATCAAAGCAATGATCAAAGGCTGGATTTTTCCTTTTAAAGTTTCTGATTGGCAGATGAAGCAGGCATCCAGTTTTGGCCAGTAAACTGAAGTTACTTCTGCATTTCAGTTTAGATGCCAAGACCTGGTTTCTCCTGTCAAATTGGCTTTCTGTAGCCCAGCAGCAGACTTATCAGCCCAGTTTGGGTCTGTGAGTCTGCTATGGAAACAGATTTCACAGCATAAACATTGGAAAACGGCTCCCAGAATCAAAGTTAAAGGAACAATCTAAAAGCAATTTAACTGCATGCCCCTGCAGGCAAAGCTACCCTCCCCCACAGCCACTGTTGTTTATCTTTGTATCCCCCTTTCGCATGCTTTACAAAAAAAGCTATCTGGATTTCCAAGTTTCAAACATAACATTTCAAGGGTACAATGTTTTTTTTTGGTTCGGCTTCCAAATAGAAATAAGTTAGGTGCTCCGATATCCAATAAACAGACTTTCATTCATGGGGATCTCTACAATGAAATTATAAACTACACAGTTATGAAAGAAGGCTGAATAGTCAAACAAATGAAGTTAGAGAAAAACAAGACTGGCATGCATTTAAACATAAATAAAGAAAATGTTTGCTTGTTAAGTGGCTTTAAAATGTTAAACTCTGTGAAGGAGTGCCTTCCAGTTTGTAATTCAGTGTCTTGTATCTTTTAGGCGTAGTCTTGCATTCAGCTTTCGCTCATTTTGCCTTTTCTGTTTCTGCCTTAGATTCCTTACATCTGCCTCCTCTAGTCATTACCACCCTCCCCCACAACTAACTGAGTATGCTTTGTGCAACACATTAAGTTCCTCAGTGCACATTTGAAGGACCATAACGGCAATTCCTTCAGCACTGGTTTCAAGTTACACAACTTGATCAGTGTGTAGTATGCACCCATGCTGTCATGTGTTCTGGGATAGGCAAACTGCTTTCACATCGGTGCTTGTTTACAAAGGCTTTGTCTGGGCTACAACAAATAGGATTCGAGCAGTCTTGAGTTGCTATTTCAGTGGTGTGCTCAAAATTTCTGCCCATTTTAAATAAAAACTTACAACTGCTTTGTAAGTGGATCTTCCAAATCTCTCTGATCCCACATAAAAAAATGCTGATACAGAGCTGGTCTGATCAATTCCATCAGCAAATAAAATTGCTGTGGCTGCTAAGAAGCTTCAAACAGCAGCAGTATTAAACCAGCAGGGAATACAAATTAGAAGGTTAAATGAGGGAATGGGAAATCAGGCTTGTGAAGAATGACTCTCCATTGCAGGCCTTGAAATACATTGAATTTTAATACTAGGGTTTTTTAAAATGTATCACGGCCTCCAAACAATTCAGAATGTTAGGAAGACATGGTTCGTCTTCAGGGATCTGGACAAGTTTGTAAATCAAAAAGGTGCGGTGAGCAGGAAATATCCTCTGTTTCTCTGTGTGAGGCTTGGCTGGGGGAGTGACGATTTCGGGTGACTTAACTCTCCATACGAAGACTGGTTTAAAAGCAAAATCCCAATTTTTTTTAATTATTAATTCATTGTTGGTGCAAGGTCACAGAATCTAGTGGCATTATCTGAGGTTTCCAACTTGCTAAAGATCTTACAACATAGAAAAAATCTTAACATTGAAACCCTCTCGCTGGTGATGGCATTTCTGTTGTCTATGAATGATTTTGTTGGAAGAAAATACAAGCAATGTGTTAAATAACTGCTTGCCCTTGCTTCCAAATTTAAGGTCTCCAACTGGTTCATCAATGCAAGGAGAAGACTTTTACCAGACATGCTACGGAAGGATGGCAAAGACCCTCATCAATTCACTATTTCTCGCAAGAGCAAGTTCTCTGAATTAAATCAATCTCGAAGCGGAGGCAGACCAAACCTATTGGAGAATTCTGCTTCCGCTGCCACCTCCACACTTTTGTCTGCATCATTTCGACCTTCTGTCATTTGCCATGCAACAACATCAATGGTTAAAGACATGCCTTTACTCCTCTGCCCAGAGTCCGGCAATGACAGTAAGAAAACCTCAAAACAGACTGACCAAGAGTTAGTTCGACCCCTGTTTAACACTGATAACCCCACTACTTTGACGTGCACAGATTCAAGCAGTCCTAATAATGGATTGTTCAACACACCACCTCCCACTCCACCAGAGCTCCACCAGGACTTCAGTGGATTTCAGCTGTTGGTGGATGTTGCACTCCAGCAGGCTGCTGAACTGGAATCTCAAAAACAGAATATTAAGATTTCATCTTAAACACGTGCATCAAGGAACGTGGTAAATGTCAGTAGAAGTGTAGATATCTGAGGAACCTTTCAGTTGGTTCCAGTCTGTGAATGGGCAGTAGCATGTTACTTAAAATCTATTCTGGAGAAATGACTATCAGAATTCATTTCTTATGGCTGGAGAAATAGCTTGAAAAGTCTGTCTGCTTAAACTCAAGGTTACTCTCTCATGGCTGTCCAGTTGATTGTAGACCCCTTGAATTGAAGGGTTGCAATAATTATTTTTAGTAGTATTCTCAGAGGCTCCACTATAGCTTTGCACTCTGCAAACTGTAGATTATAGGACTACAACATAGTTAGCATTAGCATTCTGTACTTTTGACTGCAAATATAAATGAGCTATAATCGTACTTCAAAAACTGAAGGTTACCTTAATTCGTTCAGGTTTTATGTCGCTGACCAATATGTCATGTTTAAAGATTTGTTTTTATAGTTGTTTTCCTTAAATGACGCTGCTTTCATTGAAACAGATATATTGAGTACAAAGCAAAAGTGCAGTGTCAAGGTAACCCAAAGTAGTGTGGATGACCAGGATGGAAAATTGTCTTGCACGTTCTTTAATCCTCAACCTGTGCAAAGTGTCTGAATCATAAGATATTAGAATATTTTTTCATTTGTATATAATGGATCTTTACTACTGAGCTAAAGAATTGTAACTTTAAATTGTGGTTCTGTTAGAGGCAAACTGTAAGATAAAAGTGGAACTTCCTCTAATCACTACTCAATAGATTATGATTATAGCAATGTGACATTAGCTCGGAGGTATTCATTTGTAACTTGAGTACAGAACTATTAAAAAGGTAAACTAATTTCTATTTGTTAGTTCTATCTGTGAATGTAGCTATCTGATATTTTTTACATTTTTTTTAAATGTAGTACATTGTTAAAGGTGATGTGAAACTTCCTTTTTAAACGGTAGTGCTAAGATTTATCTGATGGTAGTCTGGGATTCACATAAGTTTTCAGATTCTAAAACTTTCGTAGATGATGTTCAACCCAGTTACATGAAAAAAAAAAGTTGAGGAGAAAATCATTTAGAAAATGGAGAACCAGTGATTTTAAAATGCAAGTAATACAAGCAGATTTTCCTATAACCCTTGCATATCAATGTAAGATTGAGGCAGAAACTGGCAACTTGAGCTGCCTTTCAAATGAACCATTCCTGCAAGCTGCATTTAGGCAAATTTGTGGAGTTGTTTTCAGACCATTTAGTTTGATCCTGCAGCTGCTTCGTATATCAGCCCTTTATTGTAAATCATATATACATGGCCAAACTCTGTACCTGGGGTTTTACAGAAATGCTACTCATGTTGGAAGCTTTAAAAATTTGGTTCAGTGTTAATGCAAAAAGGGGCTTTGCAGATCATGTATATAAGTGAGATAAATGCAAATGTGCCTTATGATGGTGGTTTTTTTTGTTACTATGAAGGGACCACCCAACTATTCAAGACTTCAATTTCAATCTGTGCAATATTTAAAGGAGTTCTTACAACTCCATTCTCTGTCTTACAGGAACATTGATCACATCTGTGAATTTTTTTTAATACCACTCTAATAAAAATCTTGACGTTTGATAAATTTGAGTTCTGTTATTATTTAATGTTAAATTGCTAACAGAAGATTCAGTTTTTGATGTGTGGTTTAATTTCTTGACCTAACGTCCACAAGATGTGCAGAACAGAATTGAGCTCCTCGGCACGACTTCATTTTGGCCAAGTCACACCATTTATCTCAGCAGCAAGCAGATGGTAATATTCCTGCAACAAAGCATTGCTGAACTGCACACCTTATACATGCTTCTCATCACCAGAATTATTTAGTGAATTAATACCAGGTTACTGATAGTAACAGTCATACTCGAGCCAAGATGCTTTATTGCTGCATCCATATGTTGTGAGATTTTTAGGCTGCCTTCAGAATGCATTTGCAAAAAAATCTTACCAGAAAGAACTATTTTTTAAATTGTGTCTCGGAGTCGTACATCATGGAAACAAGACCCTTCGGTCTAACTCGTCCATGCCGACCAAGTTTCCTAAACTAAACCTATCCTGTTTATGTACCTGTCCAAATGTATTTCAAATGTTCTAACTCTACCATTTCCTCTGGCTGTTCATTCTACATACAAACCAGCCTCTATATGGGGAAAAAGTTGCCCCTCAGGTAGCTTGAGATTGAAAACGTGTTGAAAATACTCAGGTCTGTGAAGTGAGAAACAATGTTAACATTTCATGTCCAGTGTGACTCTTTGAACTGCAGAAAAATGAAAAGATAATGGGTTTTATTCTGTTGAAAAGGCAGGGCTACGTAGAGTAAAAATGAAGATAATTTCGACGATGGGAGAGATTAATTGACAGGTATCATGCAATAAAAGACAGTGATTGGTAATGGTTGTAATGAAATCGAACATTGATCTAGACCAAAGTGTTAATTACAGAAGCAGTAACATTAAATCTATATTCAGACTAGCACTTGGCAAAGAGAAAATAATTGGAGGACAAAATTCACCAGTCTAACATTGTTGAACTCAGAACTGAGTCCAGAAATCTCAGTGGCCCTTGCCATGGGTGAATCTTAAGTTTGGGCATTGCCTGCAATGAAAGCTGCATGAATTAGTTAACTGGCTCTTCACAGCCTTAGTAGAAAACCACTTTAAATTATCACCACAGTTTGCATTTACCCACCAGTAATATGAAAAGAAAAAAAAAAAAAAAAAAATGCACCATTTGAGTTGTACAGCTGAAAGATGTGTTGTCCTAAAACAAACCCAATATGAAAGACGGGGAGGAATTGATTCATGCCAGCATTGTTTATCAGGTTTGCAGCATATCTGTTAGTTTTTAATTTCAATTGATTTGAAAGATTTCAGTGAGATTTTTAATCTAAAACCAAGTGAAAATCACTGTGAGACAAGAAGAGATTAAACTAAGCAAAACTCAATAAAAGGAAGGTTTGGCACAGTGAAAAGCCAGCTGCTGATTCATTACTAGTCCATTTTGCATTTGCTGGCCAAGGCCAACTTGACCCAATTTGTCATTTGTAAATAGTCAGGGGGACTTGGTTTGAGAGTTATATGTATGGCAGTATCGCCATAACACTTTACTAAAATTTCCAATTGTAATACAACCATAAATGATGAGAATACAAACAAGAAGGAGTGGGCCATTCAGCCCCATAAGTCTATTCCACCATCCAATCTGATCAGCTGTGATCTTACTGAAATCTCAGATCCCTATTCCTGCCCATTTCTGATTAACCTCTCAGTCCCTTGCTTGACAATAATGTAGCTACCTCTGCTACCACCAACTTTCAAGAAGAGACTTCTAAAGACTCTCAACGCTCAGAGTAAAAAAAAAGTTTCATCTCTATTTTAAAAGGGTGGACCCTGATCGTAAAATTTATTTTATTATAACAATACACAAGCAGTTTGGTTCTGTACAGTCTTTGGCAACAAACATTGGGTTTGACTTTCTCAAGAGTTGTAATAAACCAAAAGGCATTTCTTAATTATGCAAGATACTGTTCACATGTATTTGAAGCACTGGGTGACTGCAATGGTGCAGAATCAGGGAACAGATCAGATCTGCGCCACATACAACAGCACTAAGAGTACGTTACACCTGATGATCAGGTTTTTACTTTCGATGGAGAGGGAGCTGTGCTCCCATCTGCCTAGTTTCTGCCTCACTTTGGCAATATGCTCCTCCCAAGTTTTTGTGCATGCCCTGGCCCCTCAGAACCATATTCCCAGCACCTTCAGATAATCTGTCTTGACGGTGAAGAGGGAGAAAGGATCACTTGGCCCAGTTCCCAAAGAACGTGGCCTCACTCTTGCCTCAATTTACCTTGGCTTCTGAGGCCAGTCAAACTGGTCACAGATGCTCAGGCGTCTGCACACTGACAGCGATCCCAGCAGAAAACAGCGCCGTTATCCATGCACAGGGAGGCTTTGACCTGCAGGCCTCCGCTGCCTGGAGTAGTCACCCCTCTCAGGCTCCCATCCTTCCTGAGGGATTTAGCAAAAGGATCTATACAACATGTAAACAAGGCAGGAGTGAGTGGGCAGTCCTGCCTGATTCCGGATCTGATCGAAAAGCTTTCTGATTCCTGCCCATTGATTGAGACTGCACTAACGATGTTGCAGTCAGATCCAATTGTGGATTCCCTCAGCAAAGCCCATTTTGGAGAGCATATCCCACGTGGAGGTGTGCGATATCTCATCAAAGGCCCACTCCTGGTCCAGGCTGACGAGGCAGACGTCCACCCGCCTGTCCTGCACATAGACGATCGTATCCCCGAGGAGCACAAGGCTCTCAGAGATTGTTCTACCTGGTACAGCACAAGTTTGGTCAGGGTGAATCACTGAAATCAGAGCAGACCAGATCTGGTTGGTGATGACCTTAGACAGGATTTTGTAATTCAACATTCATCTGTAAAACTGGTGACCAATTTCTAATTTCCTCCCTTACCTTCTTCTGCTTGTAGATGAGGGTGATGATACCTGCCAGGAGCATGATGTCGTACATCTCCTGGTCCTGGGCAATCAAGTCCCACAGAGCCAAATACAACTCAGCCGGTAAGCCGTTTCCCATGGGACTTTTATTCTTTTCTAAGGATTTGAGAGACTTGATCAGCTCATCCAAAGATAATGGCTGGTCCAGCCTCTCCCACGTTTTGTCGTCTAACACCTCCATGACACAGGATAGGAATGACTGGGAGGCCGCACTGTCTGTTGGTTTTGTGTCATACAGTCTGGCATAAAAGGATTTGCTAATCCTCAGTATGTTAGACTGAGATGATGTTACCAATCCACCTTCTTCCTTCAGGCTGCTGATCACAGAGCTCTCCCTGTGCACCTTGCAGAAGAAAATTGTGAGCATGTCTCTTCCTGCTGCACGGTGTGGGCCCTGGATTGGAAAATTATCTTGGAGACCTGAGGCAGACGCGAGGCTTGTTGGCTAATCACCTCCTGGAGATCCTCCTCGACGCCAACCTCCATCGTCTGCAGCAGGAGCAGGATCTGCATGGTTTTCCGGAGTTTGGACAGTTTTCTCCTCTATCTCTCTCTGTCTCACACCTTCTGACCTTTGAGGATCAAGAACCTCTTGATACTCCCCTTGACTGTTTCCCACCAGTCTGCTGGAGAGTCAAGGCGAGGTTTCACAGTCCTCCAACCGGTGTTATCCCTTTTGAGCTCCTTGATGTGTCTGAGGCCGACAATCTCTCGTTCAGTTTCCTTGCCAGCATGACCTGTAGATAACAGCCAGCAGGAGGCAGTGGTCAGAGAAGAACACTGCCTTGATGTCGGTGGATCTGACCGAGAACATTTGGGACACAAACAGGAAATCAATCCGTGAGTTGATAGACCCGTCTGGCAGCGACCAGGTGTATCTACGTGCGCTCCGTCTGCAGGGGTGATGAAGACATCGTGCAGCTTGGCAACTTTAACCATTTCCATCAGGAATCTGGACGTGGCATCTGGTTTGCTGAGAGCCCCTTTGGTGCAGTTGAAGTCTCTGGCTAGATTGACCAGCCTGGACATCACCAGCAGCGGTGGGAGCTGCTGCAGGATGACCAGCCGCTCACTCTTTACCACCAGGGCGTGCACGTTAATTAGTCTCGGGGGAGCATTTCTGTACATGATGTCTGCTATGAGGAAGTGCCGGCCCATCATCTCCTTAACCTTGGAGATGGTGAAGTTGCCTCCACACAGCAGAATACCCAGGCCGAAGGAATGCCAATCATTTCCCCCTGACCAGATCGAAGGCCCGTGGGCCCACAAGCTCGACCATTTCCTGAAGCTGCTGAGGTGCGGTATCTCACACTCCTGCAGAAACAGGAGGTCCGCTTTGAAATTGGCCAGGTGAACCAACGTGGAAACAGATCACGTACTGGACTTAACGCTATGTACATTGATACTGCTAATTTAAAAACCCATTTAAGATTTATAGAATACCCTGATTTTTAAACTGTAGATTTAAATGTAGATTTCCCATAAGAGGAAGCATCATCTGCACATATACGTTGCGAAGATCCTTATGTATCATGTGTTTTAAACAAGTTGACTCCAACGCTTCTGAATCTATGCCTAGGACGCACCACTTGTTACATGTTACCACCCTGAATAGGACCCGTTTATGCTGAACAGCTGCTTCTTGTTAGCCAGCCAGCCTTCTACTTATGTGGCAACCTGTCAAATGCCTTCTGGAAATCTACGTACGGTGTATCCATTGCTTCCCCTTTTTCTCGGTGTTACCTTCTTAAAAGAACTCTAATAGATTGTTCACTCATGATCTCCTTTCAGAAAACCATGTTGACTCTCCATTTTACCTTGAACTTATACAAGTGCCTGCTATAACGTATTTGCTAGCTGCTAACATTCCCCTATCACAGCTGTTAAGCTAATTGGCGTGTAGTTACTTGCTTTCTGTCTCACTCGTTTTTGTTTTGAATAAAGGAGTTAATTTCACGACCTTCCAGTCTAAAGGGATGGTCCCTGAATCAAAGGAGTTTTGGAAAATTAAAACCAATGGATCAACATCCCACTAGCCAGTTTTAACAGCCGAAGATGAAGTCTATCA